CTATGTTTGTGTGGCGTCGTCGTGTCGTCGTCGTCGTCGTCGCTGTCTTCATCGTCGCCTCGTCGTCGTCATCGTCGTCGTCGTCCGTCGTCGTCGTCCGTCGTCGTCGTCGTCGTCGTCGTCGTGATCCTCGTCGTTGTCGGCGTCGTCGTCGTCATCGGCCTCGTCGTCGTCGTCGTCGTCGTCGGCCTCGTCGGCGTCGTCGTCGTCGTCCGCTCGCGGCCTTCCGGGCACTCGCGCGGACCTCTGGAGGGCCCGGGAGGGCTGTCGTCGTCGTGGGCGGCGGCGTCGGTGTGGGCGTCGTCGTCGGTGGCGTCTGCGGCTTCGGCCTCGTCGGCGGCGGCGGCGGCGGCGGCTCTCGCGCGAGGAGTACGCGGGCCTCAAGAACCGCCACGGCGAGCTGCGCGCGCGCTGCTCTGCGCTGTGGCAGGGCGCGCGGCTGACCTCGCCCGAGGCCGCCCAGCCCCCAGCCCAGGCCCTTGGAGTACGACGGATGGCGGACGACGGACGACGGACGACGACGACGCACGACGCACGACGACCACGGCGATGGCGACGACGTTGGCGACGGCGACGACGACGACGGCGATGGCGATGGCTACGACGACTACGACGACGACGACGGCTACGACGACGACGACGACGACGATGACGACGACGACGATGACGACGACGACGACGGAAGACGACGGACGACGACAACGACGACGACGACGACGACAGAAGACGGTGGCGGCGACGGCGACGGCGACGGCGACGGCGACGACGGATGACGACGGACAGCGGCGACGACGGCGATGGACGAGAGTCGACGACGACGGGCGACGACGACGACCGACGATGGGCGACGGACGACGGTGCTGACCGACCACGACGACGACCCACGACGACGACGACGACGACGACGACGACGACGACGACGACGGAAGACGACGGACGACGACAACGACGACGACGACGACGACAGAAGACGGTGGCGGCGACGGCGACGGCGACGGCGACGGCGACGACGGATGACGACGAACAGCGGCGACGACGGCGATGGACGAGAGTCGACGACGACGGGCGACGACGACGACCGACGATGGGCGACGGACGACGGTGCTGACCGACCACGACGACGACCCACGACGACGACGACGACGACGACGACGACGACGACGACGACGACGACGACGGACACGGTGGTGGCAGCCCTCGTTGCTGCAGAGGGCTCGCGCGCCCGTTGTGGGGGGGCAGGCTGTGGGGCACAGCGGCATCGAGGGTCGAGAACCGATCGAGGGCCGAGTGGGTGAAGGATCGAGTGCACTTCTTGGATCGAGGATCGACCGATCGATCGGGCACGGTCGGGGCCTCTAGAACGGGCCGCGGCACGGGCGAAGGAATGCTCTGAGGAGTCGTGCGAGGTGGTGCCGCTCTGCTGGGTGCCTGGCCCCCTCTCCTCGGCGGCGAGCGAGGGGGGAAGTGAAAAGGAGAGGGCCTCCTCAGAAGGCCCGGAAGTCCCCTGGCCTTCTGCGAAGTTTTCTAAGCCTCCCCCGAAGACGCAGCAAAACCGTTCAGAAGGCGCGAAGGCGCAGAAGGCGCGGAAGGCGCAGCGGCTTGCGCGCCCAGGTTTGGCCAGCCCGCGTCCCCCGTCAAGCCGCGCACCGAAGGTCACTCTTGCCCAGGGTCATTCGTTGCGTGTAGCCGAGAAGAGGAGGAGTAAGAGGCTCAGGAGGAGGATAAGAACCATAGTAAACCCAAATTGCATCAGCGATGCTGCACCACATCCTCTCTTCGCAAGTTCCCTCCTTCTAGGGCTCTACAAGCCTTCATGCACACTACAAGAAGCCTCCGCTCTGTCACTCGGGCGAGAGCCTTTTTTGAAAAGGATGTCATGTGCGTCCTTCGAAGGAGCGCGAAGGAATACGAGGAGGCATGATGTGACGTGATTGATTAGTTGCACGAAGTATCCAGCGAAATCTCAGTTTCGACCCATCTGTGCAACTAGTGCACAAGTTTGCTTACACTCCTGGTAATTGACTTGAAAGAAATCTCACGCAAGCGCCCCATAGCTAGAAAGAGCCGCCCTACAGCCGTCCAACTGTCACATATGTACAAGTTCAGGCGTCTGGTGTTTACATGTGAAGAAGGTCCCCAGCGAAAGCCAAAGGTTGAAAGGAATGCGTCCTAGACAGTTGCAAGCGTTCAAGACTACTGTGCGCGGCGCTCAAGCGAGCGCCCAATTTGCGTGTTCCAACGGCGGATGCGCGCAGCAATGAAGCGAGAATTATCTTTTTTAGGAGGGCTTGCCCTCCAAGTGCGCGGAGCGAATGCGAGAACCTCATTGTGAAAGCGACCTGGGCTCCATCCGATGCCATCCGCTGCACGCTTTAAAGACGAATGTGCGCGGCACTTTTTGACAGTTGTACAATTTACGTGTGGCCAATGACAAGATTCAGGATCACAACTGGTGAGGATGTCTCAGGCGAAACGCCCAGCCTGCCCTGCCGGCACGCCT